GGTCTAGGCCCGAAACGTCAGCCTTTCTGCTCCTATGATGCTGCTTGGCCTGCTGTGTTCATCCAGCTCTGCACCTTGTTGTCTCGGATTCTCCAGCATCTGCAGTTCCTACTATCTCTAATGTGAGTATATTTTGCTTTAGGTAAGGGGTCTGTTCACAGTATTCCAGCTGTGATACATACCTTCATACAGTGCAGAATAGGCCCTTTGGCCCATCAAGTCTGCACTGAAATAACTACCACTAAATGCACACTAATCTCAATTTCCTGCTCTTGTCCCATATTCTTGAATGCTATGATATTTGAAGGACTCATTCAAATATTTTTCTAAAGGTTGTAAGGTTTCCAGCCTCCACTACCTTCCCAGGCAGTGCATTCCAGATTCCCACTGCCCGCTGGGTGAAAATTTTTTTTTCCCAAATCCCCTCTGAATCCCCTGCCCCTTACCCTAAAACTATATCCCCTCGTGATTGACCCCTCAACCAAGGGGAACAGCTGCTCTCTATTCACCCTGTCCATACCCTTCATAAGAGATTGTGCGTGACAGTGGAAAGGTGAGACCTTTGTGGTAACCTCAGCCTACAGGAATTGAACCTGGGCCATTGGAATGCTCTGCATTGCAAACTAGCCATCCAGCCAAATGAGCCAACTGACTCCCTGCACTGGCATGTCACTGTTTCATCTCATACACCTTAATCATGCCTCCCCCCTCAGTCTTCGCTGCTCTAAAGAAAGCAATCCAAGCCTACCTAATCTCTCCTTATAGCTCACTTTCTCCATCCCAGGCAACATCCCCCTCTAGTACTATCACATCCTTCCTATAGTGAGGTGACCAGAACTGCACACAGTACTCCAGCTGTGGCCTGACCAATGCTCTGTACAATTCCAACATTACCTCCTTGCTCTTATACTGTCTGCCACGACTGATGAAAGCAAATGTCCCATATGCCTTCTTCACTGTCCTATTCAATAGCTCTGCCGACTTCAGGGATCTGTGAATAATTACCCCAAGATCCTCTGTTCCACAAAGTTACAGAATCCTGCCATTCATTAAATACTCCCTCATCTTTGTTTCTTCTTCCAAAGTGCATCGCCTCACACTTATCAGGGTTAAATATCATCTGCCACTGGTCTAGCCATCTGATCAACCCATCTGTATCTTTCTGTAACCTACACCCATCATTGCTATTAACCACCCTACCAATCTTAGTGTCATCTACATAATTGCTTAACATTCCATCAACATTTTCATCTATATCATGTATGTATGTAACAAACAATAAGGGTCCCAGTAGTGATCCTTGTGGTACACTGCTGGACACAGGCCTCCAGTTACTCAAACAGCCTTCTACCACTACCTTTTGTGTCCTATTATTAAGCCAGTTTCTGATCCATCTTGCCAAGTTTACCTGAATTCCATGTGCTTTAACCTTCTCAATTAGTTTGCCATGTGGGATATTGTCAAAGCTTTGCTAAAATCCTTATAAACTACATCAACTGAACTTCCTTCATCCACACACTTGATCACATTTTCATAAATTTCACATAACTTCTCTCTGACAAAGCCATATTGACTATTCCTAATTAATGTATGCCTTTCCAAGTGGGTATTAATTCACTCCTTCAGAATTTTCTCCAATAGTTTGCCTACCGTTGACATGAGACTCATTGGTCTGTAATTTCCTGGTTAATCTCTACCACTCTTCTTAAAAAGTGGAACTGTATTAGCTGTCTCCAGTCCTCCAGCACTTTACCCCCATTGGCCAGAGAGGAATTAAAAATGTGTCAGAGCCCCTGCAATTTCTCAGCAGCCTGGGGTGCAGTTCACCTGGGCCTGGGTTGGGGTTTGTCTGTTTTTAAGCCCGCGAGAGCCTCCAATACCTCCAGATTTCCTATGGCAAACTGTGCAAGTTCCTGAGAGTCTCTTTTCCTGAATTATGCACCTACATTCTCCTTTTCCAGAGTGAAGTCTGAGGAGAAGTGTTCATTCACCACTATTCCAATATCGTATAGCTTCACACACAGGTTGCCCCCTTGGTCCCTAACAGGCCCTACCTGTTCCCTGGTTAACCTCTTCCCTTTAAAGTATTTATAAAGTTTCCCAGGATTCTGCCTAATCCTGTTTGTGAGTCCTTTGTCATGCCCCAGTTTTACCCTTTTAAAGTTTCAAGATAACGTTAAATTTTCTGGTGAAGAATAGTCTGGGTTCAATATCTTGCTTTACTGCAATTAAGAAGCAAAAATAATAATTAGTTGATTTCAGATTTTAAAATAAAATGTCAATTTCTATTACATTTGTTTATTTCAAGTTCAGGTCCTGAAAAAGCTCTCTCTCTGTACACACCGTGCTTGCTGAATCACATAGCAATTGCAAAACAAATTCAAGTCCTCAGGGGAGGAAATGGCATAATGGGATTAGAATTGAATCTCTGAATTCACAAATACCAAGTTCAGAGTTTAAGAAACAATCTGAAGTTAATAAGAATGCTGACTTTCAAGTGACACCTTTCTGTGTGAATTTCTAAAATACAGTCATATAGGATTACAGCAAGCTAAAGAGTGATTTATTTAATCTCACTTGTGCTATTATGAGTAAAGGTCAAATACCAATTTACCACTGTTTAATTTTGAGTTCTTTGATGGGAGTTGTTGGACAAAGTTGCCATTGTTAGACTTGTTTCTTTATATACTCACAGCCCATAATCTAGTTGGCTGGTTCCGCTTTGCTGGTCTACCTGCCACTGAAAGGTCAGAATGTATTGAAAACTTAGCTGCCTTTTCCTTTGCTGGATCAAAATCTTCTCCAGAATTCAGTCTCTCAACTAACCAATTCATCCAAGATCGATAGTTTGCTCGCTTTCCTAGAAACTCTATACAGAGCACTCTACCAGTTGTGTATATGTGGTACCAAATAGTCTAAGACAGAAAGAAAGTATTGATTAACTCGTCAATTACTGTGTAAGAATTGACTGTCACAATTGCCTATAGCAACCGCACTTACATTAACTAATCTGTTAAAAATCACTTTAGGACATCATTCTGAGACCATGAAAGGTACAATTTATTGTAGGTTCTTGTTTGTCTGGAATAGCGGTCCAAACTCTCAGTGACCAGGTCAAACCAAACTTCAACGTCAGACTCACAAAAAGATTTTACATTATGTCCTGGGTGCTCCAGTGCTCCAAATTGAGCCATCCTTTATCGAATGAGCTGATATTGTTTGAACTGCAAAGAATAACTTTTATACAAAATTTTTATTTCCATAGTAGTAGCCAACAACCTTCTATCACAGTCAGGATTAGATAATCTTGTCCCTTCTCCTCTTTCTACTGCATCATGGAAAGTGCGATTAGAGTCACTTAAATGAGCTGACCATGCATTCTTGTTATCACAGGTTAATCATAAATTTCTTTCCCATCCTTGCATGGGACATGGACATTGCTGGCTGGGCCCAGCACCTATTGCCTGTCTCTAGCTGGCCTTGAGAAGATGGGGGTGAGCTGCTTTCTTGAACCGCTGCAGTCCAAGTGCTCATGTTGTTAAGGAGGGAATTCCAGGATTTTGACCCAGTGACAGTGAAGGAACAATGACATATTTCCAAGTCAGGATGGTGAGAGGCTTGGAGGGGAACTTGCAGGGGGTGGTATTCCCACACATCGGCCGTGCTAACAATCTGTTACTGTGCTAATTAAAGGGGCAGCATTGTAGTTTTGGAGAGATTTTTGT